ATTTTCCTCATTCCCGTCGGTAAGAACCTCGCGCGACACTTTGAGAGAATGAATCTGATCACGAGTTAGGTGTATGTGCCTACGTTATTCTTGGCGGGCTCAGAGCGACTTTCATCTGCGACTACAGCCACACCCTGATTCTGATGATCATCATTCTCTACTTCATGTTCAACGCTTACGCCGTCAACCCCCTGATCGGCTCCCCTGGCAAGATGTACGAATTACTTGTCAAAGCTGGAGAACAACGTCCCATCGACGGCAATCGGGATGGATCATATCTTACTCTCAAATCGAATTACGGTTTGGTCTTTGGAGTTATCCAGCTTTGCTCTGGATCCGGCACTGTCTTCCTCGATCAGGCTTACTGGCAACGCGCCATTGCCTCTAAACCATCTACCGCGGTACGTGCGTACCTCCTAGGAGGTATCGCATGGTTCGCCATCCCTTTTGGCTTTGCGACAACCCTTGGTCTGTCCGCAGCAGCGCTCACAGATAACCCACGATTCCCAACGTACCCCAATCTTCCCACGTCTGGTCAGATCTCCAGTGGATTGGCTGCTGCTTTCGCTGCGGAGACACTCATGGGTCAAGGTGGCGCCGTGGCGCTACTTGTGGTACTGTTCATGGCAGTCACCTCATGCGCGTCAGCCGAACTGATCGCCGTCTCTTCACTCCTGACTTTTGATGTGTACAAGGAGTACATACAGCCCAAAGCTACGCCGAAGCAGCTGATTTTTGTATCTCACATCATGATCTGTTTTTTCGGACTAATGATGTCTGTTTTTGCTTGTGTTTGGAATGCGGCCTCGATCGATCTTGGTTGGCTGTTCTTGTAAGGCTTAGCCAATTGTCGAGTCTACGAGAAGATACTAACATGAATCAGGGTTATGGGTCTCCTCATCGGCGGAGCTGTGTTTCCCACTGCTTTCACAATTGTCTGGCGTAAGCAGACCAGGGTCGGTGCCATCTCAGGCTGTCTCACTGGACTTGCTGCCGGTCTTACGGCTTGGCTTGCAACTGCGAAAAGCTACTACGGCGAGATCAACATTGAAACCACTGGGATGTCGTACCCGACTCTTGCTGGCAACATTGCTGCGATCATGACCGGTCTGATAGTCACCGTGGCGATCACAATGATAAGACCCGACAACTTCGACTGGGAAATCACGCGCTCTATCAACGCGATCATCGTAGATGGCACGGCCAACGATGGCAATTTGACTCCCACCAACAACTCTACCCCAGATAACTCTGATTCTGCGGAAAAGAAGGGCGCTCATGAGACCCCTGCTACAGCTCTAGTTGAGCTTCCTGGGCATCTCGCCCCTACCGCTGAAGAAGAGGATGATCCTCGTACGCTCCGAAGCGCGTTCAAGCTGGCCTGCGTATTCGCCTTTGTGTTGACCTTCATCCTGGACTTTCTACTTCCTATGCCAATGTTCTTCTCAGAATACGTCCTCTCGAAGGGCTTCTTCATAGGCTGGGTAGTTGTCAGTTTCATTTGGGTGTTTGTATCGAGTGGTATCAGCTGTGTGCTGCCGATTTGGGAGACAAGGCAAAGCTTTGTCAGATTGTTCAAAAGAATGCTGGGGAGCAGTAGAAAGGCTGTGTAAGAGCATTCCACGTCGGTAGACGAGATAGATGAGGCAGGCACCGTCCCTAACACCAAGGCGATTTGGTGGCCATTATGCACAACACATACATATCGAGAATGTTAACTCCATACGTTATATCAACTTTCTGTGCTTTGGCGTATGCGCTTTCAGCACACTGATATCACAAGCCTACATGCGTATGATCCCTACGATACCGTCTAGGAAGCTGATCGGCTTTTAATCAAGCGAGGCGACTTCCGCTCATAACTTGACAAAGTCGACTGCACCCTACCACTCCATGGACGTGCCATAAGGCCATTCTTCACAATGGGCCAGATTTCAGAGAGCCGGGGATTATTCCCCTGCACCGCACCACCGTGCATCTGCATGCATGCCGAAGCTGCATCACACCAAGATATATCAATATGTGGCATCTATACGGTGAGATAACTCCGGCCAAGTTGTGAGTGAATTTATTCGCTAATGTCGAGCCCAAACGAGCCATACGAAATGCTATTGTCTAGAGTCATCAGCTAGCTCCTCAGATATAAGCGAAACGACCAAAATAAGCTAAAATAAATACACACTATCGATACCACAATGGCCTACGTCGGCATCTTGCAGAAAATGTATCTCGATCGCTTCTTGTCGTCGCTAGCAGCATCGAAAGTGTTGACAGTGGCGGGTATAGAGGTGTTTCTTGGTCATATCAATCATCGACGTGAGTGAAGAGAAGCATCTATGCAGCTTCCAAGGTAGTGGCTGTGGGAACAATGTTTCGACGCAAACTCAATCTGTGTATTCCTCGACCCATCTTGGGATCCACGGTGATAAGGCAAACTCACAACGAAAGATCAATGCCCCTCTCCTTTCGCCTCAAAAACTCCCACATCGCTCTCACAACAGCAAGACCACTGCCTTGAGTCTCGACTGTTCGTCCCCTTCCCCGATCATTCAAGTCGTCAGAGATGCGAGCACCGGCACCGCGGGTGGCAAAATATGCGCCTACGACCTCTCCCATCGTGTTGTGACCATCGAGAACATAGTCATCGACCTCGTTGTTGCGATAGTCAACCGCGCCTTGAGGAAGCAAGTCATTTGACATGTCGGCCAATTGGCTCTGCTTCTTTCTTCCTTTTGCCTCAGACGCTGCGTCATCAGGTGATCCCCACCATGAGCCAATTCGGCCTGTGCTGTCACGTGTTCGTAAAGCTGCTTGCGCATTGTGCACTACCCAGTCGACGTATTCGTTGCAGCTCCTCTGATGCAATACGACCACTTCACGACTCGCAGCATGTGTCTTGCCCGGTCTAATGGCATGCGCAGGTAGAGGCGTGCAAAAAGCACTGAGGTGATGGAAGAAAATGCCCTTGAACGTTTGGCCATCTTGACTGCAGCGGCCAGAGGGATCGCATAGTTCTGTAAGAATGCCGTTGCTGCCGAGACCGTTCCACTCTAATGGGAGAGCCGATTTGTCTTTCGCCGTACTCCCGCCATTCCTCCTCTGATGCGACTGCTGCTCAGCACGAGTCGTTTCAGTCCAACCTGTAGCGCGTATGACATTGCGGACGAGCTCGTGGCCGTCTTCGAGGTACGTAACATTGCCAGTGGCTTCCCACAGTCCGCGAAGACCAGAAAGCACAACGCCTTGATTGTAGGAATACACCATTTCGTTCCTCTCATCGCATGTCGTCTTGCTATGATTCCAGCGATATCCCTGGATGTGGAAGCCGTCCACATATAATCCTTGGGCGTTCATCATGTCACTGTTCTTTAGCCAGTCATAGCCATTAACCGCATTGGCTAGGTAGATGGGATCATAACGACCTCGTGCGCCCTCTTCACATTCTTCATCCAAGTCCTGTATGCGTGGACGTCCAGCATCATACTGTGACAGGAACGGCGAACAATTCTCGTCACCGGGGAAGTGAAGGTACATGCTGATGCTTGCTGATATGAAGAGTTGATTCGTGATGGCATTCTTGTAGGGTAGGAGTCGCGGGTTCCAGGTCATACCTCCACCGCAGAGTCGCCAGTCCCATCCTTTTTCGGCAAGCTCGTAGAAGACGCGCGCTCGGTGCGCAAATGCCGGGATGAACTGGCTGGCGTGCCAATCGTCCGGTCGGACTTTGCCAGCGTGTGGAGGAGTGGTGTAGTGGGCGCCCGAATGCGACTCGATGAACTGGACGGATTCCAGCCAGCCCAGTACAACCCAGAGCATGTCATCAAAGGCTTGCATTCTGATTGCAAAGTGATCCTCTCCGAAGTAATAGCTTACACTCTGCGTGAAGTACTTGTTGATGTCGTTCTCTACCATGAGGGCTTCGACATCCAATTTCCTATCCTTTTCAAAGGGCCTAGGCATTGTGTAGTCGATCGAGCGAGACAACGATGACAGCGTCGCCGAAATGTACGTGCCCATGACAGCAGCCGTCCAATCGATGGCAGTCGTCCATTTTCCCAGCCAAAGGGCAAAGTAGTGATCTTGCATTACTTCGAGGATTTCGTGAACATGGTGTAGGGCGTTTGCGTCGGCGGTCGTAGGGGCGGGTTTATCGTGCAGGGCCGCATCGCGAACTTGTGTCGAGGGAAGGACATGAACCGATGGGGGCGACGCATAGGCGTTTGGTGATTCATGAACAACCTTCTGGTCTTGACGTTCGCGGAAATGCTCCAACGAATCTATAGATGCGTCAGTACAGTAAATTGAGGCACAATAGATAGCCTTGCCAGCTATGGGCGACGCGTGGGCATTGATCGCAGTAACGCTTCCTGCAAGGCTGGCGCAGAGTAGGAATTGTAAAGCGGAGCCTCGCAAACGTGAGCACCACGACAACATGGTCTTGGCGATACGAGTGTGTCGATCCAGCGAAGGTAAGATACGAGCAGTTGGGTAGAAATCATGCAACGCAATGCGCCCAGCGATCGCGAGCCGCTCGCGTGGAGCGGCAAATATCAATGTGTCGGGAGAGTCATGGAGAGAGGAGCGAGATCCACGAGGAAGTCGTCGCTCGCATGGGAGGATCTGATCATGGGCAAAAGCAGATCGGCCGCAAGTCTATGAGGCGTTCCAAGATCCTAGCCACGCTTGCCGTGCCGCGGAAGAATGGTACTTGATCCTTCTAGACAAAACTAGATCAGCATGAATCGCAATGTCGCAGTCATTGTTGGAACAGTTGCAACTGCGAGCGCATCCTCCTAAATAAAGTGGGATATGTCAATGGCGTCTTTGTGCAGGTGTGACATGGCGCTGTCCTCTGAAAGTTGGAGTTGCGCCAAGCTTGGACCCTGGAACATGCACGTGCTACACCCACGTGACTGACATCCAACACGAAAAAAAAAACTCATATCAATCCACACTTCGTGTACACATACGAAAGGATGACAGACCACGAAAAAAAACAATGTTGAACAGAGTGGGAATCGAACCCACGCCACTTTCGTGACTAGCACCTGAAGCTAGCGCCTTAACCGCTGTGAATTGTTAGCTTTTGAGAAGAGGGAGAAGGGTGGAATCACGCACCTCGGCCATCTTTTTTAATGGTTAGTTCGTAGTGTGTTGAACAGGTGGTGATATACTAACCTGTCCTGATGATTTGATGGGAAGTTAAGAAATTTTTCCATATAAGTATCATATACTGAATATATACTATGGGAGTGGAACACGCTGAGATTGATGCGGGGTCCTACCCAATCTAGCACCAGTACTGAAAATTCACAGAATTGCAACAGTGGATCTCAGGCTTACTACTGTAGCAGCAATTATCTCGCTAATTTGATCGTGGTGCTTTGCAATTACATGCAGGCAGTTCTTGGCGACAAAGTCTGGGCATGGGAACACCTCCCCACTCAACCGCTCACAACTACGGCTGTTGCATCCACCACCAGAATACCGAGACTATTGCACGACATACATGTGAACTCTCTAAGAACACCAACAAATCCGTTGCGAGTCCTACGATTGTATTGTATTGTTCCGAGTACGACTATCTATTGATGCGCAAATGACGAGGATACACCTGAAGCCGCCCCGCTCCCCCACCTCGTGACCATTCGCGACCCTGGAGGACCGCGGCGCCGCGCGCTTCGCAGAACTTAACCGCTTTGAGTATGACTTTGACAGATGGTTGGCAGGTAGCGCGCAACGCGATTGTGGCTGTGGCCACATGCTCCGTCGCAGGTTTGGTGGGGAAAGTGTCTTGAGTTCTTCTTGCAGTGACACCTCCCAATCTTCCACTTTGCCATCAACGAGTTACGGAGTGCAGAAACTATCCGAGAACATTGATCACACGATTTGAGATCGAGGAAAATCTGGCGTTAGGTGCAGGACACAGGAAAGAGCAGGACGCAATGGCACAAACCCTCCAACCCAACTGGCCTTCTCAAGCCCCCGCCTACAATGACTCCATCCTCACAATCACATCCTCCTCTTGTGCAGACCCTTACGTTCTTTGGGACAAGGGCACATACTACATGACATTTACCTGCGGTGGCCATGTTGAAATCTGGTCTGCAGACTCGCTCTTCGATTTCGAAAAGCACTGCAAGAAGGAGGTCGTCTGGCGTCCTCCACCAAACCAGCCCTACAGTGCCGACCTTTGGGCCCCAGAGCTGCACGCCATCAATGGCAAGTGGTGGGTTTATTTCGCAGCAAACGATCCAAAGGTCGGCAACAAAGGTCACAGAATGTTTGTCCTCGAGGGCCCATCGGCAGATGAAAATCCGCTGGATCCGGGGAAGTGGAGGTTTCATGGCAGAGTGGGTGGACTGCCCGATGATCAGTGGGCGATTGATGGAACAGTCGTGGCACTCTACAGTTCGCAATTCTTCATATACTCCGGATGGCCGATGGGCACGCATGCAGACGAGAGTCGCCAAGAAATCTACATAATCGAAATGACGAGCCCGACGGAATGCAAGGGTAGGCCTATCCGCATCAGTACGCCAGACTTACAATTCGAGTTCAGCGGGTCAAGTGGAATCAATGAAGGACCACAGTTCCTGTGCTCACCGGATGGTAGATGGAGCGGTATTGTGTATAGTTGTGCCGGCAGTTGGACACACGAGTACAAAATGAACATCCTCTACTACACTGGTGGGCCACCACTGGAGCCGACTTCGTGGGCGAAAAGCAACAGGCCTCTCCTGCAGGCCTCGCGCGACGACTCACCACCTTATGGACCTGGACACGGCAACTTCGTGCTAGTCAACGGTCCCTCCGGCCCTGAAGTCTGGGGCGTATTCCACGCAACAGATGCGAAGACAGGATGGGAGGGAAGGAAAGCACGCATCATGCGTGTGGGATGGGGGGGAGGCGGACCCTTCATGGGTAATGGAGAGTGTGGAAGATGCTGTGGACAGGTCGAGCACTTCATCCAAGGGTGTCCTGGTGGTGCCTGCGGCGGACAAGGACATTGTGGCGGGGCTGGAGGTGGTGGAGGATCGTTCTTGGAGCCGGGCAAGCAGGGTGGAAATGGAACGGATGATCTGAAGAGAGAGGTCAAGAATCTTGTCAAAGGTGGAAAAGGACTTATCAGTAAGTTTCTCAAGTGAGGCATGTATGCATTGTGGAATAAGAGAAGCTGGTGATAGGTCGTGGTCATGGGCTGGATGTCATGTTGGAAGCGAAAGTATGTACTGCTCAGCTTGATGGAAGATTCACAATCTGTTATCACGCGTTTCATAGACTATGCATGCTAACGAGGCATTAGTTCATCCGTCTGCTTCGTTGCACATTTGTATCCAATACGAAAATATTTGACTATCACAATTCAGTCTAAGTGTAAATTGAAAGAGCCGGTCAAGCTTGACGAGGTATGATTGTTTAGGCGGATTCCCCAGAAGAATTTCATGCCAAACGGTACTTACGGTCGTTTTAGCTTGTGTGCCGATTCTGATAGTACACTGTGATGAACACGCGGTGGCGAATAGATTGTGAGTCTATGCTATAGTGTACTGTGATGCACACTGGGTATGGATGTGGGTACAGCCACTGTGATAGTGGTGTGGTGCAGTGTCGAATGAAACGAGTTCATTTGCCGTACGTGGATAGTGACTAACTCTCTGCGATCGTGCACCTGATTTCACCGTTGATACTGTCAGACCTACGAATTCCACGGCCGATGTACAGCAAAGATTGTGGAAGACTAGGTTGCATACATGTCAGCGCCCACGGTGGACCTGTAATGTAATTTGTAGCGCGCTCAACCGTGGAGAACTAGCAAACATATAGTGAAGGAACATGTGATGGCGGTATCAAAGTTGGTGTCTCTTCATGTATACTTGTTCTCTTAATCTTAATTTGAATTTCATATCTTACACAGTACTCTGTGATGTAGCTCTACAATCAGTGCATCGTCTTGTTTGTAGCACAGTGCATCACAAGGCTGTGCGCACGGGCTTACATAGCCTTCAAGACCGTCTTGCGTTGACGCTTTTACCAGCATTTGCCTAGACCAATTTCCGTTTTTTACATTCAAAGGCTACGGGCCCCTCACAACACGCGTTATAGCACTGACTCCCTCAAATGCTCCCATGCTCCCCTACACGATACCCTAAAAAAACCTGCTCTATCTTGCAGGCTATCTCAACTCTACGCGCTAGCCCACAATAAAATGCCGCAACTGTTAGAATGCAGTATAATAATCCAAGCAAGTGACACAGTGGTCTGGACGATCTCCTCGCGTGAGTGATATCATCGCCTTGATCACCAATCTTAGGCTGTTCCAATGAAGTTCTTGGGCCTGAAGTGGATGAAATACGGCGAGGGAAGTTCGCAAACCAACGGTTATAGCTGAAGCTCGACAAGGATTGGTTCAAGTCAAGGTCGTATATATGTGCAACGATGCGGGCGGGTAGACTAACGCGCGGTTAATGCATCTTCCACCAATCTAAGCTAGAAGACCTTCCACCAGTTAAGCTGACGGCAGATCTCATTGACAGAAGACATGGTGGTATACACGGTAGCAGAGCATAAACAGGCACGCTGGCAGAGCATTGACAGACACAATACTAGACTTTTGGTGGGCGTAACGGCAACTCATGGCAGATGTACAGGCGAACACAACGGCAGGCCCGTGGCAGGATCATAGCATCTAAAGGAAGAGCATACACAGTGGGAAAGCAAGGGCATCGGCTGTAAGCACACCACTCCTGGAAAACTACTGAAGACTTACAAAATTTGCCTAACTAATGTTCTACCTCGTGTACGTGGCCTGTTGAACAAGGTCCACATGTCGTATATACCATATGTGAAGCCCAGTTCCCTTCCTTGTTGTGAAGAAACCCAGAGCCGTTCTGGTACTGCACACACATTATCCGACCCGTCACCGAAAAACAATCACCACACCACAGCACCATTCCGGGTACCTCCGCGCACCAGTGTCGATTCCATGTCTAATTGCCCGGTCGTGTCGTCGCTTTGTCTCCAACTGTATTATCGTCTTCCCTTTCTTCAACCAACAAGAGTTTCAATATTTTCCATATCCCCGAAAAGCTATATTTCGGAAGCCTCCATAAGAGAGCCTTGCTCACCCCAAAGATCCAGCCTTTCCAGAATTCGAAAGTATCCGAGAAGACATCAAGGACCGGTCCATGACCAGGAAGCCCCCTGTCCGGCCAGAACATACCCTGAAATTCTCTGCGAGTATCCGGCACCATCCAGTTGAAGTTCATATCTCTCCCCTCACTCTGTGCTACATAGGCCTCGATCACGGCCAAAACGGCAAATATTACCGCCTGAAACTTGAGATAGTCCCAAACGCGGCCTTGCAAGCTGATTAGATTGTCCCAGCGGGCTGCCCAGAACCAGCGTTGCACTTGCACAAAACAGGCCCAGGTAGATTCGCGAACTGGAATTGATTCCGAGGGGTCGTCGGACCAGTCATCGTGGCAGAACCAGGTTGACCAGTTCCATAGAGAGAAGGGGGTTGCAATCCTGTAGGGAATCGGTCGTGAGCCTGTCGTCCGGGGTGGAGTCTTTATAAGGTCGGGGCTAAATCCTAAGGAAGATTGTGGAGTACCATATACTCCATTTGGGCGCCTGTTAGGCGGGGTTCCAAGTGTGTTTCGCGGTCGAGGGTAGGGCAAAGATGTTGGACCTTGACGGGTTCCAGATCTGACGATGGGACTGCCTTTGAATAATGAATCCATATCAATTCTAGGCAGTGCAGCTTTACGAGGTCCGGGTGTTGCAATCTGTCCTGGTCCAGATCTCTGCCCTACACGAACTCTCCTGGGGAATAAATCAGGGGGGTTAGCCTGACTACTAAAGTCTCGTCCGCGAGTGGATCCAGTTTTCGCAACTCGCAGCTCACGTCGAACTCTTGGAGCGGGGCTTCCAGCATGATCTTCGGGTCGAGTGAGCGGAACGTCCGGGTTTTCCCAGCAAAGGAGAACGAGGTTTTGGATGTCCAGGCTGTCTTGGTATGAGTAAAGAAGTAAGCCAACCAGGATACACGAGGCGAAAGGATGATTGTGTATGAACTCGG